TATAATACTGAAGCGCATGGGTCAAATGCTTGTAATGTTCCTGAATCTTCATCTTAATAAAAAAGAATCTTAAAAGAGCCAACAACGTTGAGTCAAATGAGAAAACGTAGTGGCCCGTACGGGGATCGAACCCGCGACCTTGGCGTTATTAGCACCACGCTCTAACCAACTGAGCTAACCGGCCATGTGCACACGAGACAGATTAAATCTTTATATAGAAAGCGGGAGAAATAAGTATTTAACACGTCACCAATTTCCTCACTAAATATATTGCCAAAGGTAATATTAACATGAAATGTTCACCAGATGTTGGTGACAACCCAAGTAATCCATACATACAAAGAAACCAAAACAAATGAGCTCAGGAATTAAGTTATGTGTATTGAACACGCTTACTGATATTTATTTAATACTTTGTACAAAAGCCTTTGTTTGTAATGACAGCTTCAAGATGCCTCCTGTATGGAGAAGCATGCATTGCGGACATTGTCATTGCAATGTCCACCCTTGTTTCATCTTCATCATCCTGGTAAATGGCAGCAGATTTTTGTCAAGAATGTCCCAGGACATTTGCCCATTCATCCTTCCTTCATAATGTGAAGTTTGTTAGTACCATTTGCTGAAAAGCAGCCCCACACCATAATGTTCCCACCTCCAAACTTCACTGTTGGTATGGTGCTTTTAGCTTCAATTTTGCTCTCATCTGACCACTCTATATTCTCCCAGTATTTCACTGGCTTTTCCAAATGTTGTGCAGCAAACTTTAAACGAGCTTCAACCCTTTTTTCAGCATACAGACCATGGCGGTGGAGTGCATTACTTACTGTTTTCTTTGAGACAACAGTACCTGCTAATTGCAGGTCATTTTGAAGCTCTCCACAAGTGGTCCTTGGCTCTTGGAAAACTCTTCGGATTATTCTTTTCACTCCTCTGTCAGAAATCTTGCGAGGAGCACCTGGTCGAGGCAAATTTATGGTGAAATTAGTATCTTTCCACTTCCGTATTATGGCCCCAACAGTGCTCACTGGCACATTCAGAAGCTTAGAAATGGGCCTGTAACCAATGCTACTGTTATGTTTTGCAACAATTAGGTTGAAGGTCTTGAGACAGCTCTTTGCTTTTACCTACCATGAGATGTGTCTTGTGTGACACCTTGGCAATGAAACCTCTTTGTAGGCCATCAGTTGGGACTGAACCAGCTGATATTCATCTGCACTGAGGGGCTGGATTGCTTTTTAATTACTGATAGAGTTCAGCTGTTGTCTTGGCTTCCCATGCCTTTTTGCACCCCCTGTTCAAAACTTTTTCCCTGTGTCATTTCACATTA